CCCCAAAACCCCAAAACCCCAAAACCCCAAATGTTTAACTCAGATTGAATTTAGTCAATCAAAATTTTAAGAACGATAAAGGTATAGTTCTTCATATATGTCAAAATGTTCTCTCCATTTTGACAACTTTCCCTCAGGATATAATTTTCTGTTTTTGTGTATTATAATTACTTCTGAAGCAATTCTCTTTCTTTGAAACTTCTTAGTCATCTCGATCTCTTCTTTAGAGATAGAAGTAGTGTCCAAGATGCATTTCTTGATCATTAAGTTCTTCTCAAGCATATTCAGAACATTCCATACAGGCATTTCAGAGGGCAAATTTATTCTCAAAGTAGTGAGAATAGGACTAGATATCAGAAATTCTCAGAAACTGAAAGCAAAGCTCTCAGTTTCTGGCAAAATTAGGTCACATGTGAAGTCTAGGACATGGCAATCTATGGTATAAGTTCTTGCTTACTTTGGAGTTTTAGTAATAGCTCTGATAAGAGCTCTCTTTCTTCTTCTTTAAGAAAATTATGAAGCTTGTTTATGCAATCTATGAGTTAACAATAAGCCAAGAGCACATATTTACTTCCAGATACAAAAACAACTTTCTCAGGTATACAACTGTACTTACTAATTTTAATAGGAAGCCCCAAGTACTTCTCAATATAATTCTGACTATCACGCAACAAGTGTAATGTGATAAACTTTCCTTCTAATTTCTCGACCAAATCACAGACACTTCTCCATGTATCGATATCAATGTGTGTTAAACTGTCTTCACTATAACTATAAGAGAGATTCGTACCATATTTCAGCTTCCAGGAAGTATTCTTGGCCTGAGTCTGATATCTCATTTAGTACTTTAACCCCAGAGTTTTGGATTACTACTTCTTCATTAAAATCGAGAATGCAGATATCTTCTTCCTCTATTCCTCTGAGAGACTCAAGCTTTCTAAAGTCTCTGCAAACATCTTCAGGAATATTATTGTCACTCTGCTTCCAAAGTGCATAATAATTAGTGATTTCCATCTGAAAATTTATATTTGATTTTTGCTGAATTACAAGGATTTCATCAGGACTTTTAAAAATATCTTTATTTTGTCAATAAAGTAAGAACTTATCAGCTTTGAAGATGTAAAAGTCATCTTCGTCTCCGATCTTCATTGCGAATTTTACATTTGATCTGTTGAAAGCTAGGTCGCAGTCCTTATTTTCATATACTTGATCCTAGTCTCAGAGAATTGATCCTCTTAAGGTTCAAAAGTTCACTTTTGTTTAAATGAGGGAAACGGTATCTCTCACTGTAATGGTAAAGTTTCTCTGTCTGGGTATCTGCCCAGTCTTTTCTAAAGAGATTTGCATCTAGTCAAGTTTCGATCGAACTATTCCCTGCTACGATCACAGTTTTAATATTTGGGAAGAAATTTAGAAATTTGTCCAAATCTCCTAAATAAGGTTAATTTAGTGTGAGCTTTTAGGATACTTGTTTAGGTAGTAAATGGTTTTGCTTAAAAATTAGTTCAAGAAGTAGGAATTTTGACAAATATTGGAATAAATTCGGTAGAAGTTGTTTTTATAAGAGCAAATTTGCCTCAAATGAGGCTTTTGTATTTTTTTATTACCTAATCAATCATTTTCGGAGAATTTTAAAAGTTCAACAGCTTGGCATTCTGTGTTGATATCTTTCAATGTTGCCATGATCTTTGCAACAAGAGAAAGCTTATTAGCTTCTAGTCTGAGAACGCGATACTTCTTATTTAAAACAGAAAAGTTCTTGGGAACAAAATAATCAAGGCTCAGTACATGGCACTTGTCTGTAATTTTCGTCAGCTTTTGATAATTAGTTTGCAATATAGGAAGAGTAATTTTATCATAAAACTCAGATGGTTTGAGAGAAGCCATATTCTCAAATGCTGAATAATTCATAACTTGAATGCATTCAGAATTAATTCCTAGGGAGCGGAAATTCTCCATAAAGTAAGCAAAATTTGTTCCCATTTCTGGCATACCAATGGTAATCTTCTTTAAAAAGTCTTTATTTTGGACTCCAAGAGCATTATTTCTCTCTTTAATTCCTTTTAAGAGCTTGACCATGTACATGTAAGATACACAATCTTTAAAACTGCAAGTTATTACTAAATAATTGAATTTGTCTCCTCTAAGAAGGTAGTCTACATCTCACCTGCTTATTTTATACTCCAGGTGAAGTGAGGCTCTGAGTTTTTCAGCAACAACAATTGTATTAAGAATAGCTTTTTGGCTATTATCCCATACTCTTTTACTCGCTTTACAGAGAGTTCTAAACATCTGTGCAGTCTCGTGTAGGTACCCATAATACTTTATAATAAAGCTCATGTATGCTAGCTTTGTGACCAATGCTTTACGGTGGTTCATAGAATTCATGCGGAATGACCTATTTATTTAAAATTTAGTTGGAGATAGTTGCTTTAAATATATAAGCGTTTGTCTGGGGTTTTGGGGTTTTGGGGTTTTGGGGTTTTGGGGTTTTGGGG